ACCAGACTAGCCGGTGCGATCATGCGTTTTGTGCAATTCAGCCCATCGAACGATTGCCTATTAATATTTTTCACTGCTTTTTACTTTTGTCTATGCAAAAATAGTTCAAACATTCGAAAATAGTTAAAAATTTCATGCACCAGCGCATAAAAGCTGAATTCGAAACCTTGAAAGGTGAATATCTTTGTGTTTCCCGAGTTAATAGTTTACCCGCCAAACTTTTCACGAGGCCGTAAAGGACATTCAAGAGCGAGGGAACGCTGAATTTGAATAGGCAAGGTTGAGCGTGGCAGAGGGTCATTACCCTAAAATTTCAGCTCCCTAGGCCCCGTGGTTCCCGAGATAATAGTTTCCTGTAAAAACTTTCGCTGGCCCGTAGGTGACACCCGAGAGCGCGGGAACGCTGAATTTGAACGGGCAAGGTTGAGCGTGTGCAGGGGGTCATTATCCTAAAATTTCAGCCTCCTGGACTCCGTGGTTGCTGAGGTACTAATTTACCCATAAAAAAATTTCACGGGGCCGTTCGTGTTACCCGCGGGTACGGGAAGGCTGAATTTAAATTTGCCGCGTCACACTTTGGCGGGGGACACTATACTAAAATTTCAGCCGCCTAGCTTTTGTGGTTACCGGGTTGAAAATGCGGGACAAAATGTGGGACACACACACACACACACAGACAACCTCGTGACAAATATGCGTTTTGTAACGCTGTTACATAGCACAAAACGCATAAAAAGGGAAGGAAAGATGGAAATGAAAAAGGGAAAAGCTAAGATAGTGGGAATAACATAAGTGGGCTGTGCTGAGCGGACATCATCGAGGCATTTGGCATTGTAATATCACTGCTTCACCTCAGCTGTGGGATTTAGGTTGTTGATCCGAAATCGTACAGCTTACAGTAGAGATGTGCTCGCCGCATTGTCGATTTGCCTGTCAGTCCGAACGTGTGTAAATAAGTTTGGGGGATTCTGTTCCACTTTTTCGGTTCCATAGAAGTCAAGCCTAGCTATGGTTAAAGTTCTTTTTCAGTCCATGTTCAAATTTTGCGCTGTTTGTAGTTTGAAACTGCAGTCCTCAGCGACTATGGTGGCGCATGCGAAAGACATAGCATGTTTGGATGTGAGCATCAATGATCGTCTGTGTGTCACCGGCTCAATGGACAAAACTGCCAAACTGTGGCACATCGATTCCGAGAAAATGCACTTCACCATTGGGGGTATGCTGAGCGGACATCGTCGAGGCATTTGG